GCATAACTTCACATTTCCTTTTGTTGACCTTTGTAAGATTCCTGTTGGTTCATTTCTCCAGCCTGTTGAGTTCCCTCTGAATGGCACCACAACCGTCTGATATATCATCCACTCCTCTCAGTTTTGTGCCATCTGTGAACTTGCTGAAGCTGCACTCCACTGTTCAAGTCATTAATATATTCAACAGTGTTGGTCCCAGGACCTAGGGTACACCACCAGTGACTGGCTTCCAGTTGGACTTTGTACCACTGATCACAAAGCCTTGAACCCAGCAGTTCTGCCAGTTTCCAGTCCACCTCCCTGTCCATATACCTAGTCTGTAGTTCATCCATTTGTCTATGAGACTGTTACAGGAAACACTGCTGAAAGCCTTGCTAAAGTCAAAATGAACAACACTGCCTCCTCTTCCCTCCCTTACCAAGGCAATCACTTCATAGTAGAAGGTGATCAGGTTGGTCAGGCACGACTTCCTCAGTGTAAATCTACGTTGACTATTCCCAATCACCTTGTCCTCAGTTATGTTTGGAAAAGGCTTTTGGTACTATCTGCTCTATTACCTTCACAAGGACTGAGGGGAAGCTCACCACCCTGTAGGTCCCCAAGGTCTCCTCTCAAGCTCACTGATTTGTTTCTGCCACTGCCAATTGTTCTAGCTACAAATGTCCCTTTTATAATTTAAAGCAGATGACTGACATTTAACCAGAGTTGGCAAATATCCTTGGACATGATATTCAAAACATTCTCCTAAAATATATCATGGGATAAAAATTCTTGTAATTTATCCTAAAATGAAGTCTGGGGGGAAAACAGCAAATCGTGCAACATCCAGCTTCCACTTCACAACACTATTAGTTTATTTCCAGTCAATTACAGGAACATTTACATTATCTGGAATAGAGGAGGGTTGAGATTTCACTAAGTTAAAATCCAGCTGATAAATGCAGATGCTCTGTAAGCACTGCAAGAGGCACTGTGCAACATGATGTGAAGATGTTTAAAAGCCTCTAGCAGGGCGTGAGGATCTTGATGCAGCCCAGTAACTGAACTAGCATTGCATTTGCAGGATACTGCAGCTGAGCTAATCAGCCATCCCAGAAAGAACTAGCCCTGCATGTAAACAACTGGTGTCTTTGGTTGATAAACTTTGAGTTGCCTGTAACTTAAATTAGAAAAGGAACAGATAAATTCCTCTACATTTATTCTGGCATAAGCCTAAGTTTGTTCAGCCTTGAGAAAACAAGGCTTAGGGTAGACCTTATCACCATGTTCCAGTATTTAAAGGGTGGCTACAAAGAAGATGGAGACTCCCTTTTTACCAGGACACATGGAAAAGATGAGGGGTAATGGGTGCAAGTTACTGCTGGGGAGATTCCAACTGGACACGAGAGGAAATTTTTTCACAATGAGAACAATCAGCCACTGGAATAATCTCCCCAGGGAAGTGGTGGATTCCCCAACATTAGACAATTCTAAGGCTCAGCTGGACAGTGTGCTGGGCCATCTTGTTTAAACTGTGCTTTTTCCAGGAAGGTTGGACCAGATGATCCTTGAGGTCCCTCCCAACCTGGTATTCTATGATTCTATGGTAAGCTATACGAGCAAAAGGATTTTTTTGTTTCCAATTACTTTCAATCAACCTCTTAAAGAACAACTCCTAGCAATCGTATTGGCCCACATGTAGACAGCTTTAAAAACAGTAACATGATTATAAAAGTAGAAGTGTTCCAAAAATACATGTTTCTTGTTCCGCTAAGAAGTAGGATGCTCTAGTAGAGTCACAGTGGGACAGAAATACCTGGTAGTTAGTTTATGGACTGACTAGTGCAAAGTTAACATCTGACAGTCAGAAATGATTTTCTATCACCAGCTCTGAGGTGACTACACCCACGAGTTCACAAAAGTGTAGAATGTTTTGGGTCAGAAGGGACCTGTGGGTTGGAAGGGACCTTTAATGATGATCTAGTCCAGCCCTTCCCCTCAAGTTCTTTAAGACCTGGCTGGGGAAACTTACGGCTTCATGGAGATAATTTTAATCTTTGGAAATTTTAAGAGGCTGGAAGCATGCCACTGTTTGAGCAGGGCACAGAGGGGCGACCAGATACCTGCGGACTACTTTTCTTGATGTTATAGGCAAAATAACGGAAAACTGGCAATGGACTTGATTAATAAAGAATTCAAGGCTAGATATAAGGTTAATGCCAGGCAACAGGGTTGCATGGAAAGGAAATCTGTTTAACAAAACCCTATTTAATTCTTAGAGATTAGATTGGTACAGTTAACAGTAGGCACACCACAGAATTAAATCAGGGAGTATGACAGAACAAACTCAGTACTCACCATTAGCAGAGCACGCACTACACAGATTGACTGTGAACATCCTCCCTGAAACAGGTGTTTATACAGAGGTTCTGCAGGATCAGTATCAGACTCAGATGTGCTGAACTGTCTCAGCAGTCTGGAAATAACTACAAAATGATCACAGGTAAAATGTTTTGCGAAAAAAGTTGAAGGAATGGAAAAAACCAATGGGGTTAATGTGGTTGTACACAGGAAATTCAGATTCTGGCCACATGAAAATGCATCACCTTTTTCATACAGCCAAATTACAAGGTGTGAGAAAACTTGGACCAAGAGCTGCAGGGGGCACCTACATAAGAGGATCTGTCTCCAGGCACGCACTGACTCCAAAGGATGATCTAGCAGTCCAACATGAATTCCCAGGATGATGCTGACACATGAGAGACTAATGTAGCCCATGGATGTTGGGAATTTTAATGGCCTGGGCTGTATGAAGGCTAGACACAATGGTATCATTACCCTTCCTGCCTTCAGTATCGTGAATGGCATCCATACCAGAAGGGCTTGCTTCCACAACTGAAACGTCAACCCTTTCAATTACAATTGTTGCTGAGGTCCTGCTTCTGCATGTGTATTAACACAATCTAATGCACTGGATCACACTTCTAGATAGCATATTTATGAGTTTCACCCCAAGTTCAGATGCAGCAGCAATCCCTGGTATGCCCAAGGCTAACATCTCTTGAGGCAACTCCACTTTGCATCCAAGATTTTCAATTGTTCCACTATAACCAGAGAGTATTCCTAATTCCCTGCAAACTCAACTCAAACCTGAAAGTCAAGCTTGGTTTCTTCGTGCAGAGCCTCTCCCTTACAGAGTCTGTGTATGACTGGATTACATTGTCTCGCTGAGACTACTGGAGTACGTTTTGAAGAAAGGTTCTGCTGTTGATGCAGGTGTCACGAGTTAAGGCTGTGAGAACAGTTTGCAGAGAAAAGCAGTATTTTTATTAGACCCAGTTATGTAACTGGGCAAAAAAACAGGCACAAATAAAATAAAAACTTCAGGCTAAATTGTGAAAAACTGATCTGAGCTTCAGCTCAGTTGGACCAATTGTCCAGTGAGTCTGAGGGGCAATGGTTGGTAGTGTGGAAAGTAGAAGAGAAGGAAGATGTACTGCAGTCCAAGCCTGTGAAGAATAGATGGTTTTCTTTTGTTGCTGTAACACAGAAGTAGAGCAGACTTCTGAACCAGGAACAGGGTGATATTCTGAACACATGCGATTTTCCCCCATTCCCAAATGTGACCGGCAAGTAGAACACCAAAGTGCCAGAACGGTGTTTTCCAGTTTGTGGCATGTGGACTGCAGGCTATTTAAGAAATCTGCAGGAGGTGACGGAGAAAAGCAAGCCTGGAGTAAGCTTAAACATACGGTCCAGTGGGATTTGCACCTGCACTGGATTATTCTTTAGTAGTTGGAAAACTGAAAAGGTCGCAAATCTTTGTAACAGCAGATAAAGTCCTGACACAGGTAGTAGGCAGAATTTGCTGTCAGGCCTGGTCAAACCTTCACCATGTTTAGTGCAGGGTCTCCTCTCCAAGCCTGATGTACTGGATATTTGGAGTGACGGTCTATGTCCCTGAGCTGCCATCAGTTTATTCCTTTAGGTTCCCCCTGGAAGCGCTGGCAGTGAAATATGATGTTTTCTCATTTATATGTACTCTGTGTACAGCAGAGGGGAGTCTACAATGCTTTTGTCCTGGTATCCTTGTTTAATTTTCTCCTATTCCAAATGCTCCTGGGCTGGATTCTGTGTGATATTCAGCGACATGCTCCAGCTGGCACCACACCATCTGACTGCAGCATCCCAAGAGCTCGCAGCCTTTGTTGTTTTGTGCTGCACATCAGATATCCATCTTGATTAGCAAAGAATTGCCAAGTCATGATGAAAGAATGCTAATAATACTGATTAGATCTGCACAGATTATGGAGCTGCAGACATGTTTGTCAGAAAGCTCGTGAAACTTTGTTTAGAGTTATAATGAATTCCCTCCCCCCAATAGTAATAAAGCAAAATATCAGCAGCTGCCTGAAGAAAATCAACACTACCTGTGCACTGTTTGGTCTGAATTTCAATTTAGCTCTAACAGACCTTCTATCTTATTGGGAAAACATGGAAATAGGGAGGTCTTGCTGCTTCTGAGAAGTAGGAACTGTCGTAGCTCCTGCCCATCTATATATTAAATATCAAGGTCAGTCCCAGACACAAGCCACTTAAATCTGTCTATTCTGTCCTAGCAGAGAAGGCAGAAGCATGAACAAGACTGAATAATTTTCACATATTGCTTAGGGCAAAATGAGATTTGATGCCCTCTCTACTTATGTGGAGAGTATGGGGTCAAGGGACAGAGGATGACCGAACAGCAGTAAAGAAAATAAGGCCAAAGAAAACATCAACAACCATTATCACTGGAGGCACCAGGGGCTGAACTGTCTGCTGTCTGGTGCACCCATCACCTTCCTCAACACTGTCTGCTCAGCAGAGTGCCAAACAGGGACCGATTTCCACATAGGTTAAGCAAGTTACACCTTAAAATGACAGGCTCTAAAAAGAAGGGATGCCAGAAGGGTACAACCACTGCATTTTGGGCAACCAGAGGTGATGTACAGGGTGGGAAAAATGCACAGCAAGAAAAAGCCTAAAGGGAAAAAGTTATTTTTTTTTCCTGGCTTACAACCTGAAACTCCTCTCTTGGGGAGTCAAGCAACCTTCCTGTCTTGCCATCTGTCCTGTCACAGTTCAGTTGAAGTTGCCAGAAGCTGCACTGAGTGCTCTGACATACCTCTGCTGTGCCAACCCCTTGCTGTTCTCCATTAGTCCCTAGCACACTCTCCTTGCCCTTTTCCTCCCGTGGTGCAGCTATCCTTAGTTCTGGGATTCTTTCATGTCAATGGAGGCTGTGTCCAGTTAACATTTAAAATAAATGAACGTTAAGTGCAGAATTGGTTCCCATTTCCAGACTGCTCAGGTGTTGGTCTCAGCAACTGTGGAGAGAGAAGGTGATGGAGCCTTTTTATTCTGTAGTCATGCAGACTGTGTAGGTTATCAAATAGGTCTGGGATAAAGCCCCCCCATGAGAACAGTAACTAGAGACGTAACAAGGGAGCTCTAGAAAGCCCAGAACTCGTATTGGCTCAGCTTGGTCACTGGCACCGAAGCACCAAACGTAATGAACTTAATCTGTCAGCCCAAACAGGCTTTAATCTGTGGCATAAACCACTCATGATCAGTCCCGCCAAAACCCCGCAGGGCAGAAAATAAAAGCCACTTTAAGAAGGAAAGCCTGGAAAACGAAAAGTTCCTGGTTCGCACCGCTCCTTCCGCCGGCAACAGAGGCGCTGAGCCGCGACTCCCAACAGCCGCGCCTGACAGAGCGCGTCAACCCCGCACGCCGCGAAGCCAGGAGCCTGCCCCCGGGGCCTCCCGCGGCGGCGAACCAGCGCTGAGGGCCGGTGAGAGCCGCCCAGAGCGCCGGTGGCCGCCTCCGCCCCTCAGGCCGCCGTTTTCCCGCCGCCCCCTCAGAGCGGCCGCCCCCCCGCCCCTTTCCGCCGCGGTCACGTGGTGCCGCGGTAGACGGAAGAGCGGTTGTGTGAGGGGCGAGGCGGGTGCTGTGTGTATGCGTGCCCGTCGCGTCACGTGACGTGGCGGAGGAGCGGCCTCGCGCGCGCGTGGAGGAGGAGGAGGAGGAGGAGGAGCAGGAGGAAGAAGCGAGCGAGGCAGGCAGGCAGGCAGGCTGGCGGTCACGTGACGGTCACGTGACGCTGGTGGGCGCCGCGCGCCGCCGCCGCCGCTACTGCTGCTTTGTGAGCACATTGGGCAGGTACCGCGCGGGGGACCGGGGCCGCGCGCGACCGCGGGGGGGTGGGAGTTGGGGGGAAGGTTCGGGCATGGGGGGGTTGTGAGGTGATGGTCCCGCGCGCCCCGGCGGCGGCCCGGCGCCCCTCCCTCGCCCAGCGGCCCGGGGGTGGCCGTTGCCGCCTCAGCGGCCGGAGGCCCCGGGACGGGCTCGTCACCCCCCCGCCCCGCCGCCTCCCGGGGCCGGTTCCCCGTCCCCGGTGGGAGCTTTTTGTCCGGCGGCGGGTGCCTGCCGCCCCTTCCCGGCCGCGGAGGGGTTGGAGGAGGAGTGTATGTGTGTGTGGGGAGCTGGCTCTGCCCTACTTTTCCTGACAGCCGCCCCGGGGAAGCTTCGCCCTGCCCTAGATTGCCGCCCCCACCCCCCCTCCGCCCCTCTCCTCAGGGCCGCGGGTAGGGGCCGCTGAGTAGGCCGCGGCTGCGAGCAGCTCCCGCCCGGGCTCCTGTGGGTAGGGGGAGCCCACCCGACCCCCAGCGGGTGCCGGGAGAGGTGGGTTACCTTTCCGCCCTCTTCTGCGTGGGGGAGCGGGTCGCTGCACCTCATCCCCCTTGTTTCTCACCTCGCAGCCCGCTGTTTCTCTCCGAGCGAGCTCGTGCCTCTGGCGCTTTGGGCTGGGGGTGTGAGGAAAGGGGGGGGTTGCAGCTAGACCATGTAGAGAAGGAGTGGGGCTGGTGGAGAGGGGCGTGCCTTTGGGCCCCTTCCTAGTCTTGAGTCAGGCCAAAGGAGGGCTGGCAGCACAGGAAGGGAACAAGTGGGTGAATAACTATTGGTTTGTGCGTTGTGTAGGGTTTTACTTCCATGTTGTCTTAACGTATCTCCTTCCTGGGTGCTCCCTCGCTGGTAGGGGGTGGGGTAGGGCAGCCGTGTCACGGTCACAGCTACAGAATTCACTGACAATAACATCTTGGTAGCAACAGTAGGTTACTTGAGGACATGGCAATGAATGAACCGTTCTTTCTGTTAACCTTCTCTACCTAGTCCTTCCTCACCCCCGATTACTCGTGGCTGTTCAGAATTGGAAGTCAGGGCCGGGCTTTGCTATTGGCTTGGCTTATGTTGCATTTAAAAGCAAACAAACAAAAAAAGCTCTTCTGCGATTGCTGTTGTTGCTGAAGAAAATTGCAGCAGGAAAGTGAACTGGTAGAAACCCTTCTGCAAGAAACTGGATATAGAAAGGGACCTCGTTCACCTTTGAGCCTGATGGCAAGGCTCTGAAGTCTGTGATGTGAAACATTTAAAAATATGTGCTGAAATGTCTGCAGTGCTGTTGAATGCCACCTGGGAGCTGCTCCATGTGAACCTGGTTTGAAGCTTCTCTTGTAGGTGTGTTAACGTCAGAGCATGGACGTGCAGAGCCCTCTTGGTTATGTTCAAAAGGACATGCAGTCTTCTGGAGCAGAAACTTTGGGTTTGGAGTAGAGCTATGTAAGGGGAAGCTCACGAGGGCCAGCTCGCTTCATCCCTTGCTACCAAGCAGCAATTGGTCCCTAGTCACCTCAGATTGAGTAAATGCTGAATGCTTATAATACAGCAGTAGATCAAGGTGATAGCATCTGGGCCTGTGGCGGCTGGTGAAGCAGAGGGGCTGTCCTGGTGTAGGAGCAGCTGTTTTTTTCAAGAAGAGAAATTGGAGCTGGATGTGTGTGAAGGGAAGGGAGGGGGGAGGATGTGCAGGCCCAGAGGAGGAGTGCTTGCCATTGAAACGGAGCCCTTTACAACAAACAGCAACAACTCAGCCTTCTGAGGCTTTGCTTTTTTCATATTTACCAGACCCTTTTAGCAATTCCCTTGGTTATATCACGTTCTCTAGTGGAATCTGGGTTTGGATTCCTACCTGGCTGACTCAGTATTTATAGCTGGGCCCAATCTCTCTGTGGTGGTTTGACCTGACTTGTTTAAAGAATTTATTTTTAACCTTATACTAGGTAAATTGAAAGCAAGCAAGGCTAAATCACTTTCCAGCATTAATGATGTTTTGGGACTCCTGGAGGGTTACATGGAGAAACTGGATTAACTGGTGTAAACCAATTTTGATGCAGAGTCTGGAAAATGAGCCAGCTTTTGTGTTTATAACCTCAACAATCTTGGTAACTTGAGGGAGGGAGGAGTGGGAATTGGGCAAGCTCTATTCTGCTTTGTTCTAGTTGCAGTTTTATCAGCGTATTGATTTTTAAAAGTGTTTATAGTAATAAAAACAGAAGCATGGAAATTCAGAAATTTAGGCCATTTCATTTGCATTGTTTTTGGCCAGTTCTCAAAAAAGCTCCTGGTACCATGACTTGCAAAAGGATTTGACCATTCGAGGGGACTTTGGAGTTAGACTCACCACTGAAATGTAAGGAAGCTAAGGGAAAACTCAACAACAACAAAAAAAAATGTCTGTTACCAGAAGGTGCTATTCTGTAATTATTTTTTTTTTTTTTTTAGTTCTTCCATTTTTCAAGCTACCATTTTAGAACTTAGAAGCATTTTTGATGTTTTACATTATTTTGTGGACTGTTATTTTATGTGATGCCTCATAAAATGACATTTTTTGGTATATTTTGTATTTGTTGCTGGTTTCCCCCCAGTGATAGTGATTGTAGAAGAATAGTATGCTGATTAATAGTGCTTGAGAAATGTATGTATCATACATTGTTAATACTCTGTTAATAATTACTACTAATAGTAATACTATCAATACTAATGTTTACTTACAATTTCAGTAATGTTTAATGCCAGTACTTGGAATAGGTTCTTCATGAAAGAATAGGAATACAACCCTGTATCTTTTATTAATCTTTTATCTATTTATCTTTGTCTCTTACTTGGTTAAAGCACGTGAGCAGTGTGCCTCGTGTTTTAACACTGAAGACCTGTGTTATGTGCTTAGGTTTGCAGCAGCCTCGTATGACCTTGGTAAAAGAGAAGCCAAGTGACTTGTCCCATTTTATGATGACAGATTAAAGAAACTGTTGTATTTGTCTGCTTCAAAAGTATTGAATGGAATGTGCTAGAGGAAATACAAGTAATATCCACTTCATTGTTAATCTTCTGGAGCTTTTCTTCTTGTTTTTTTTTTTTTTTTTTTTTTTTTTTTTTTAACCTGATACTGTCTGCTCACTTGTAGCCCACTGCATCATCTTCACTTTTCAGAGAAGACCTAGTTTGGACTTGTACTGTTTTTCATATAACATCCCTAAACAGGTTATGCTCATTAAAATGAGAGCCAGATGTAAGGTTGTGAAGTAGCTCCTTTGCAATTACTTAAGGTTCATATTTTACAAAGATTGTACAAAGGGTTTATCCATTTTGCTCTAACATGAAAGTCCATGTGCTTTAATTTTGGCCATCTAAGTGGCAGTTTGTCAGAACTCCCCGTCCACCTGGGGCTCCTGCAGTCCATTTCACTGGTGTGGTACCATCAGCCTTTCCCCCTCATTACTTCTCAATGCTACAAAGGGTAAACAGTGACCTAAAGGCAGATAGATTAGAGGTGTTACAGTCTGATGCCTAAGATCTCATGGCTTGCTCATCTTGCTTGTACTACATCACAACTATTTTGCTGAGCATATAGTTTTATTTGTGTTCTCTCTAGGTTGTAAATCTTGTAAGATAGGTTATATGAACAACTTGTGGTGTTCCCTTGGATGAAGTTGTTTATGCTTTCAGTTCTCTTGAATTTCTCTTTTTTTTTTTTTTTCTTGTGTCCAGCTGTCTTCATGAAAGCTGCAAGATACATGGCTTCTTTTGAAAGTAAACTTGTCAAGTTTTTTTTCTCTACCTCCCCAGCTTTTAAAATCAGTCCTCTAACACGTGAGCTTGGAGGAGTCATTAACCTGGTTGAGTGTAGCATTTTACATTAAAAACAACGCAATATTTCCCATACTGAGAGAGCTTTGATCTTTCTTGAGACTTAAGGTTTGCCTAAAGTATTACTCCTATGGCGAATTCAATGATTCGTTTTTTTGCTTTATCATACAGGCAACACAGTTTATTCCAGCTCTGCAGAAGATGCGGCTTCAATGGAATTTGTGTTATAGAATCGTTCAGTATTTGAATCCAAATTTAAATGAAGAAAACACAGCTCAGCTACTTTCTTAACCTTCAGATTTGAATCATCAGGTTGCACTTTTTTTTAACCTGGTTTAATGGTGGGGGGGAAAAAAAAAGTCTGTCTAGGCTGCTGTTAAGCAGCCCTGTGGTTGAAGGTATAAAATTTGAATTCAGTAGCTATGATCATATTCCTAAATATTTTTAATGGTTAGTTGTAGAGAAAGGAAGTATCTCTGCAGTTTTACGGTGTGTGGTGTAGGTTTCATCTAGAACATTTCAGTTGTATTTCTTATGACTAAAATACTGTTCCTGGAAGTAGGATGATGCTTTAGAGAACATATTGACATTGTTTTTGAGCAAAGAAAACATTTTTTTTTTTTTCCTACTGTATAAGTTTTGTTAAGTGTTTTGAGGATGGTGGATATAATAATATAAAATGAAGCATATGGCTTCTGAAAGCCTTGTTGTTTCCTCTTTCTCTTTGGTTCTAAATGTTAACTGAATCATAGCTGCTTTATGGCAAGCATGTGACCAATATCTTGTATTATCCCATTGTCCCTGTTTCCCAGTATTTGAAGGCTATTGCTGATTTTTTTTTTTTTCTTCTCTATTTACATTATTCCTTGATTTTCAAACTTGGATGTTGTCTTAGATGGAGTTTCAGCAAAACGAATCTGAAAGGAATTCTGGTGCCAAACCCTACTGTGCTCTCAGGCTGTATATAATATATTGTATTTGAGAAATTCTGGTCTGTGCTTTTGATGGGTTGTACCCCAAGGGACAGATGTGTTCTGTTACTGGGTTTTTATTTCAGCTTTCAGTCACACATTCTTCGGATCGCTGACTTGTGATCAAGTTGGAGTCTGACATAAGATGGACATAAGTTACTGGTGTTAGCTTTGGGTGATTAAATGTGATGAGGCCAAGCAGTACTGCACTTCCTGGTCTTGTGTTTCACTTTCTTTTAGTAGCCACTGAATGAATTTGAGTGTTTTGAACATGAGGTAAGTGCCAAGGGGTATCTGTCTGAAATGCAGTTTAGAGAAAGATTGAAATAGTGCTATGAGCTTGGAGAAGGCAAGTCAGTGAGTATGTAAAAGTTTGTTGATTTTTTTTTTTTTTCAGTGTTTGAGAAAACCTTGTGGTTTCTGATATGTGTCCTCAACCTGTTGGGTTTCTTTGCTGCTTCTTGATGTCCAGATAGCAACCATGTCCAGGAACTTTTCTTTGCATTTTAGGAAAAGATGCTTTTTATCTTTCTTGAATAGTTCTATTATGACTGCAAGTATAAAACTTCTTGCAACTTCATACTTGTACTCCAGTTTTCATTGTTTACCATTTTGTCTGTTGATGTGATAGAAAGTGCCAGTGAGTTTTACCCTACTTGATTTAACTGAAAATAAACATTCAGTTGATTTTCTTTATGTGACTGAGCAGAAATAGTAGAGTTTAAGAGTCGTCCCTAATGCAGCTTGTGGGGCATTTTTGATAACAGCTTTTCTGTTAGAGGACTTCCTTCCCTTTTTACTTCACTTAATGACAGACTGGCTGGGGTTGGCAGGGACCTCTGGAGGTTGTCTTGTCTCCCCCTGGTCAAGCAGGCCTACCTGCAGCAGGTTGACCAGGACTGTGTCTGGACATCTTTTGAATATCTGCATGGATGGAGACTCTACCACCTCTCTGGGCAGCGTGTGCCAGTGCTTGGTCACCCTCACAGTAAGAAAGCATTTCTCAATGTTCAGATGGAGCCGTCTGTGTTTCAGTCTGTGCCCATTGCCTCTGACTGTGTCACTGGATACACTAGAGCCTGGCTCTATATTTACACATTCCTGTCAGGTATTTATACACATTGATGAGACACTGTTGCCTGCCGCCCCCCCCCCCCCGCCCCCCAAATAAAAAAAAAAGCCTTTTTCTCTAGGTTAAGCTACTTGATGTAGTCAAATCTGTAGTCCTTCAGGCAAGCTCAAGGCCATATGTTCTTACATGCCTTTGAGAAGGAGGTGGATTAAGGATTGAATTTAGTAAGGGTGGTTGTAACAGTAATTCATAACTCTTCATAGGTGGAGAGGTGGGTGGGTTTTGGGATGGGTGTTTAGAGATGGTGCTGTGAAAATGCAATAAGATTTATATTTTAAATCCAAATAATTTTTGTGCTTGCAACTAAGGAGTAATTGTCTGTCTCGGCTCTAGCTGAAGACTATAATGCAGCAGTTCTGTGAGGGAAGAAACAGGTCAAACATTTGATTGTCTGGTAGTGATAAAATTACCCAAGTCCTTTATATGTTCTGTATAGGAATTGTGTGGATTGTAGATGATGGTTTAATGTACGTACAGCGTTTAGGAGACATTAGGCTGAATTCTTACTGTACTTCTGCATATTGAGTAGTTAATTTTATGAAGCTATATGCATAAAAAAATATTTTTGAAACTCCTTTTTGATGAGAGTAAAGCCAAAACTCTGTAGAATTAAATGAATCCTGGTAAATTAGAAGTGGACTAGATTAGCCCATTTTTCCTATTCTTTCAAATCCAGCCCTCTGATACCAAATCTTTAAGACCCCTCAACTGTAGACGAAGGCTAAACTAAAGTTAGATTGTTATGATACTAAATCTGAGAAGTGCTGGGATGGCTCTTTCAGTACAGTCCTCTGAAATGAAACATCAGTGAGATTTAGATTCCGATAGGAAAACTACCTCATATATTTTTATGACTTATCTCCCTTGCTGATTCTCTTGACTTCTAGGGAGTGCTTCTGAGTACTTCAGTCATGGGAGAGAGGGAAGTGAAAATATTTCTTCTCAATAAACAAATCCATTTAGACAACTGATCAACAGAAGGCATCCTAAGCGTTTTACTAGTTATGAAATGATACACCTATTATAAAATATGATAAAACACAGGGCAAGAAAGTGCAGAACCATGCCTTTTCAGTTGATTTTAATATCTGAGCAAAACAAGCACAAAAACATAGAGTGAGGCATCTTACCTTGCAGGCCAGTACAAGCAGGTTTTGAAGATTTGAATTGGACTGTGGTAACTAAAACCTTTTCCACCTAAACAGAAAACAAGTAGCTGGAATTGGAGCTGAACGAAAGAGAGAACAAAACAAAGAGTTTAGCAGCTGGAGTCAGCATTGTTTTTCTCAGGACTTTGTTAAGGAGTGGTGGGTGACCAGG